AGAAAACCGGATTTTCCTTAAAAATTTAACAAAATTTCTTTATTATAATTTATGTTTAAACAATCATTAAGATTAATCTAATCACAAAAATATATCAAATTACATACAAATTTAAGAAAATCAAAGAAATTAGCTCATAATTATAATTTTTTTTGCGTAATTATTTAATTTCTTCAAAGTTGATTTTAAACCTTGGATTATTCTAGCAGAATTTTCAAATACTTTGAACACGTTTTTGTTCTTTCTTCGCTAATAAGCGATACATTTTCATTACAAGAAAAAAACCGGATTTTCTTTAAAAATTTAACAAAATTTATTATAATTTATGTTTAAACAATCATTAAGATTAATCTAACTACAAATATGTATCAATTTACATACAAATTTAAGAAAATCTACAAAAATTAGCTCATAATTATATTTTTTTTTTTGCGTAATTATTAAATTTCTTCAAAGTTGATTTTAAACCTTGGATTATTCTAGCAGAATTTTCAAACACTTTGAACACATTTTTGTTCTTTCTTCACTAATAAGCGATAAATTTTCATTACAAGAAAAAAACCGGATTTTCTTTAAAAATTTAACAAAAATTACAAAAATATATCAATTTACATACAAATTTAAGAAAATCAAAGAAAATAGCTCATAATTATAATTTTTTTTGCGTAATTATTTAATTTCTTCAAAGTTGATTTTAAATCTTGGATTATTTTAGCAAAATTTTCAAACACTTTGACCACATTTTTGTTCTCTCTTCGCTAATAAGCGATACATTTTCATTACAAGAAAAACCGGATTTTCTTTAAAAATTTAACAAAAATTTCTTATAATTTATGTTTAAACAATCATTAAGATTAATCTAACTACAAAAATATATCAATTTACATACAAATTTAAGCAAATCTAAGAAATTAGCTCATAATTATAATTTTTTTTACGTAATTATTTAATTTCTTCAAAGTTGATTTTAAATCTTGTATTATTCTAGCAGAATTTTCAAACACTTTGAACACATTTTTGTTCTTTCTTCGCTAATAAGCGATTCTTTAGAAGCAAAAGTTTAAAAAAAAATATATCTTGAAAGAAGAAACTGAAACAGTATTTACATAGATATTATACAAGAGAAGACTGATCTGTCATCCAAACTGCACGGATGTATTTCTTATATGCAAAGCGTTAAAGTTACTACTTATAAAGATGTAAATTTTAAATAAAGGGACGCCCGTCGCGCGGAATTAGAGCTTCCTCCTCCTCATCTTTCGCTCCTTCCTCCAAAACCCAAAAATATTATACTTACAAATGATAACTTTATTAAATTACTTCGTCCTCGGAAAATGATAAATTTTCGCGCCGAAAACGCGAGTCGAGTGAATTAAGGAAACACTCCCCAACTAATTTCCACAATTTTCCTCAATAGAAATAATGAAATAAAGTAAAGTTTCGAATTGTTTTTGTTATGACGATATTGAAATTTGTATTTCAATCAATTTAAAAGTTCCATAAAACTTTAACAATTCATAATTTGTATTGAATTAGTTTAACTAAATTGTTTATTAAATTGAATTAAATTTTCTATAAACTCAATACTTTTGGAACTAAATAAACTATATTATTAAGAATTATTTAGAAAAACGTTGATGTTAAATCGAAGTGTACACATTAATGTGTGAATTGATGGAAATATTGAAAAATTTTAATTGGTTTTAACAATCATTTTTAATGTTTGTTCTGCGAATTGGAATGCAGACGACGATGAAGTAAAATAAAAGTGATGACTTAATCCGTGGAGGTGAGTTTAAAATGCATTAGGCGTGAGGATTAAAAACGAGGGGAAAAAGGACAACAGAAGAATGGAAAATTGCGATTTCGTAACGAAGTGAGAATTAATTGGAGGGATTGAAAGAAATATAGAAGAATTTGATACAGAGAGGAGAGTGCGATAATCGTGAAAAAAGAAGGAATAAAAGCTCGAAGGTTTTAATTATCGCACATGCTTTTGTCTGATGATGGCATTTGGGATTCTACCGTTTCTCGCTTGCGAATGAAATCGTCGGAATCGAATTTCGCGTGTTTCCCTGGGCACTAATAAAGAGAACCTGCTCGAATTAGCGAAGACATTCCAGCATTCGATATGTGGTGGAAGATTAAGTGATGGAGAGAGAGAGATCCCCTACACACACAACTTTTATATATTTTTATGGTTTAAGGAGAGACGTGATTCGGTCAGTGATGAAAATGCTTATCGAGTTATGGGGAGTTTATCCCGATAAATTAGACGTAGTTAGGAATTGCTTGGGAGTAAATGGTTCGGAAGTAATGCGCGCAAATAGTTACCAGACGAAGAAGAAGATGAAGAAAGAGGGTTGGGGTTGTGGAGAGTAAACATAAATATAGATTGGAGACGAGTGGAGAAAAAATTTTGTAAAATTCTGTACTTACTGTCGAGCCATTTGGAGTCGTACTTGAGGGTCCTCTTGAACGTGAACTCCTTACGACCGGTGGTCAGATTAAACAAATCCGTACGGAAAATGACCGTGTCCGCTTTCGTGAATTCCGCATTAGTTCCGGAGTAGAGACCTGGAAGGTCGCCCGGATTCCCTTTCTCCACCCAAATGGCGGTCGTGTTGTCGGCAGGATCGTACGGGCACTTCGCTATACCCAGTCCAACTCCAGGCACGAACACGTTATTGCTCAAATGAGTCAAATTGGCCTGGAAATAAACAAACAAAAACAAAATCAAGTTAAATACAATTGCATTTT